CACGAGAGTGTTAAGAATACCCAAGACGTCCTAGCCAATATGTCGATCACCTTGTTTCCAAAAACATTATGATATATCTTAGCTAGTTCCAAGACACTTAAGTTTCTAACTGGGCGTAGATATAATAAGTACTCGAGAGGAGTAAGTTATACGGGTGTACATTTCGATGTAGAAGTTCCAAAATTCCCCTAAGTGCTAAGGGTACTATAGGTATACTAAGTTATGAGTCTTGAGATGTAGAGAACCCTACAATTTTGCCTTGATGAATTCATACATTAATAAATGATTTAGATAGGTAAGTTAAACATCATTCGTGATTTCTTCGTATTGGTATAACATGAACTATATACAATACATAGCATTATACAACTTTGTGTAGTACCATGAGTTTTAGTGAGATTAAAGAAAATAAAGTACATTAAGCATCATTTGACTAGTGCTAGTCATCATCGTATAGCTCAATGATGGTAAGTAATAGTGAGTGCAAGATGTAGAGTCTCAAAATCCTTAAGTCAGAGTGTGATCATGTGAGATCTCTTCTTTGTGAGGTATTCTCTCTAGGAAAGATGTTGCTAGTTTCGTTAGGCAAGTGGCCGATTTTCAGTTCTGAGTAGCTTTATGTGTGATTCAATGAGTAAAGCGAATGTAAAATGTAAGGTAAATGAGAAACAATTGTGTAATATGGGCGAGTATTGAATCAGAGTTACGTAGTAGAATTACAGAGATCGACGTTAGGAAGTCAAGAATTGTCCTAATATCTTTAGTAGTCAACATGTAGACCGTGATTAGAAAGTGCCCGTAGAATCTCAATGTGTAGCATGGCGAGTTACCTAAGTTCAACAAATAAAAGAGGCTATATGTTTATATAGTAAGTTAACTCGATTAGGTAAGATTAGCCAGTGAAAAGTTTAATGATAACAGATGAGTCGTGGAGTAATATTTTTCCTTTTGAAATGTTCTAAGTATTTAATGTTAAGACGATCAGAGTAATACTCAATGGTTTTGTGCTTCTCGAATATTGTTGCTTAAGGTTTGATGTAGGTAACACTATATAGAAATAGGGGTTGTAAATCAATTTTTTTGAGTTTTTTAATTGCAAGTTATGTTGCAGAGACTTATTCTGTGAGGATCATGTTAATATAAGTTTAGGTGCTTCAAGGTTTCTAAGTGTTTGACCGAAGGATAGGTCGTAACACCCCAAATTTTGAGGATGGAATTTCTTTTAAGAAGGCTAGAGTTGTAACACCCCAAATTATGGGCTAGTAGTTTTAGATTTACTTGAAAGGTATACAGACTTCATGGAGTTCGTATTTAAAGTTGTTAGACCAAGTTGGGCTTAATTACATTGGAATTAGGCCCAATTAGCTATAAAATTATTTTTAAATATTAGACAGATGATGAAGGACCAAATATGTAATTTTACCTTTTTAAAAGATTTATATCTCATTCCATCTTCTTCTCTTCATTCCATACTTCCTATTTTCTTCTCCCATTTTCCTCTCCAAGTGGCTATCTCAAGGTAAGATCTTGATAATCTTTTATACTTCAGTTAAGCTTCAATTTCATCCTCAACCTATCCAAAAAACTTGTTTTGAAGTTTCAAAGCCTTAGGTTCTTTATAGCTAAAGCGAAAGTAAGAGTTTTCATCCAGATCTTAGAGGAAAAGAGTGTGGTTAAGCAATAAGCTTCATTTCGGGATCCTAGCACCAAGTAATGTATTTCTAATCCTTTTAAGTGTTAAGATTTCATAAATATGAAGAATTGCTAAGATTTGTGTATTAAAGCATTTTAGGGTTTATACTTGATTTCATGATTAAATAATGTTTTAGATATGAAGAAGGTGTTTTTATGTCACTTTGTGATATGAAGTAACCTCATAAAGCATTAGCACATGATTAGAAACCAAACTAAGACATTTGGGATGATTTTTAGGTATTTCCCGAGCTTAAATATGATATTTCTAGGTTCAAGTATCAGTACTAGATGAACTGGGATAAAAATTTAGGGATTTTTAATTGGGAGTATCGATATTGCTAGGGATAATATCAATACTGCCACTACAATATTGATACTCAAGGTAATAGTATCGATACTGGTAATTTTTAGCAAACAAAATCCATTTCTCGTATCGATATTCATAGGGGTATCGATACTTCACCTTAGGGTATCGATACTGTAAATAGAGTATCGATGCTACCCACTTTGGATGGTTATAATTAACCTCGTTAAGGCCTATAAGAGTCAAGGATTATCCCTAATAGTATAACTTAGTCCGTAAGGGACATAAAAGGCCAAAGGGGTCCATATACACCCGTAAGAGTGGGTTATAACCGAAGTAATCATATTAGGCGTAATACGTTCAAGTATTCTCAATCGAGCACATAGCGAGTATCTAAGAATGAAGGATCTTTGCAGAGGACGTACCAGCAAGCGGTATGATGAGTCAATCATATTTTGAAATAACAAAGTTGTGTACTGTAAGAATGTCAGCGAATGGTGAACGTATAATTGTCCCTCCTATTCAATGGTGAATTGTGGGAAACTTAGTAAGAACGACTACTATGTTACTACTAGTGATGAACCCGAGTCAGGTATCAAGCTTGCTAGTGTTACAGACAATTAACAACAAACACAATAATCATCGTGAAGTCATGAAACACATAGAGACCTCCTTAAAGATAGAAGTGACTAAAACGCTTTTAAGTTACGAATGACTAGAATAAAGCAACTTAATAACTAACAGAATTAATAGACTAATAAACCCTTACATAACATTCTAGGTAAGAGAAGGAGCGTGATAGCAACTAGTGAGAGGGTGACATCAATTTAGTGTGCCTAGCTATGTGTAGTTGCATCTGTCCAGAACAGTAGATATCTTTAGAGCTTGGCTTAAAGGTTGTAGGACCGATCCAATGCTTTAGTTGAGCGGGAATTATATCGATGCTATCTGATATCGGGTTCCCCTTCCGTGATTTACCTGATGGCTATGTGAGACCAGGAGATCATTCATCAACTTAGTGGGAATTTCACCGATACTATGTGACACCAGTTTCCCTCAGTAAACTAGTGTCTAATGGTTATGTGAGACCATACTAGTAATGTTGCATTCAGATAATGCACAATAGAGTTAGTGTTGCATTTAAATAATGCACAGGAGTGTCATTCTCTCATTCAGATAATGCATAAGAGTATTAGTTTTGCATTTAAATAATGCACAGAAGTTACAGTTAGTGTGGGTAGAGACCTAATAGAGGTGTACTCATGGTGAGGCACTTAACAGATGATTAAGGAAAGCATGAGCCTCCTACTTCAATGATAGAATAATAAAACCTTAAGTAGGTAACACTTGATTAAGATCATATGTGTATCTACTGTTTAGTACCATGTCTTTAGCATGCTTGTGTTTATGAAATTCAAAATACTACTCTAGATTAACGATTATATTGTTGGGCTTTGTGATTTATAAAATGTTTTATTATTGTCGAGTATGTTTATTTGATACCATGTATTATGTTTTGAAATGTAAATAAACAATTTTGAAAACCAGGAGTTGTCTTGGTAGCCAATTTGACATTTTAGGCCCAATTTGATTTAAGGTGTTTCATTAGTAGCAAGGTAACATATTTCTACCTTCTTTATACCGCGTGGGAGTTATTATATTTTCTTAGCTAGCATGAGTTCATGGATCATATGAGCACATTCATGGTAGATTTTAGTTATGATGTTATTTAGTATGAAAATTGACCTATAATAACCTCTTTTAATATATATAAGACCTAAATAACATTTGGGGGCCTTAGTAAGGCTTATGGACAAAGTTGGGTATCATTTTTGTGCTCAAAACAAAGCATTTCTAGGTTTAGGTATCGATACTGAATGAACTATATCGATATTATTCTTCAGATAGCCTAAAACAAGGGGTTTTTGATTGGTGGTATCAATACATGTTCATTGAGTATCGATGTTGTTCGTTGGGTATCAATACTCAAGGGTAAGGTATTACTGTCTTCGAATTACAAATTTCAGTAGTTGACTTTGGTATTAATAAATGGGAGTATCGATATCGTGTGAAGCGAGGATATCGATACTTTATGTAAGGGTATCGATATCGAGTTAATTTCTGAAATCAAACATAATTTTGGTATCGATCTTAGGGTGGTATTGACACCGTAATACGTACCGATACTCTAATTAAGGATCAATACTGTCAGGTTTTCTCAGATTCTAGTAGTCAATTTTGGTATCAGTATCAATGGTGAGTATCGATACTCAATGGTCGACATCGATACTAAAAGGCTTAGTATCGGTAACACCGTCTTGAATTGGATAAGAAACACAATTGGATCAAGGGTTTGGGAAGGAGTCTAATAGCACTAGAAGAAATTATATGTTTGATGTAGCGTTTTTAAAGTCATTGTATATTTTAAACCATTTCTAATTAATATTGTAATAAATATCTTATTTGAAAAAAAATGTTACATCCACTCTAGCCAAACGTTTTTTATCATATTCAATTTTTTTACCTTTTTAGCTTTAGTTTTGGATTTGGAGAGAAGTTGCCAAATGTCGAATCCATTGATTTCAGCTTTGTTTATTGTTTCATTATATTATATTTATGATACATTTAATATTACGCTTCTACAGTAGCAGTCCCACCGACCAATCAAACCCCCAAATCCACTCAACGGACCCACCAAATTTCACTAGTGGGACAGTGATACCACCACAGTTCAATGGCTCCAAATCTAACCCACCCATTGATTGCCACGTGGCCATCCATCTCATTTTCAGAACATTCTACCTCCACGTGTCATTCCATGTCTTCTGTCACGTGGCAGCTGCTGGGTGCCATCTAATCCACTCCACATCTCACCAGTCATCACTGCATTATTGAACATTTAGATAACAGTTTTTTTGGGACCGTCGTTTAAGTCATTCGATTTTTGTATAAATCAACCAAAAGTGAAGACTTTATAAAGCAGTAAAGTGCTGTGTTTGTTCCTCTATAGGAAAAAAGAGTCGATGCATGTCCCAAGGAAGTTTCGTGGAGGTTGTAGAAGAATATCTTACTATCACCTTAAATTAAGATATGTTTTATTAAGACCAAATTTTACATTGTCCCATCTAATTCTATAAAATCCATGCCGTGCCGACCAAATGGAGTAGTAGTCATTGTCTTCGACCCATCTTACATTGTATATACACATTTCTTTACTTAGCTAACAGCTTCTTCATATTGACACACACATATCGGAAAGTTTATCAAAGATGGGAGTGGAAGGCACCATTGAATACATCTCCGATTTGCTTAGCAGCATGAAGAAAAAAAGAAGAGAAGCAAACTCAAACCGTAGCTCTCAAATCAGGATGGATTGTGAAGGTTGTGCACGTAAGGTGAAGAAGGTCCTCTCCGGCGTAAAGGGTAATCTTTATATATATATATATATATATATATATATATATCATTCATCATCTTGAACGTTTTATTTTCTGTGGTTTTTTCCTTAATTTTTGTATTATTTGTTTTTGATAGGGGCGAAGTCAGTGGACGTGGACTTGAAGCAACAGAAGGCAACCGTTACGGGTTACGTGGAGGCGAAGAAAGTGCTGGCAGCGGCACAGTCAACGAAGAAGAAGGTGGAGTTGTGGCCTTATGTGCCATACACTTTGGTGGCCAATCCTTACGTGGCTCAAGCTTATGACAAGAAAGCACCGCCCAATCATGTAAGGAAGGTTCCTGATACGGCCACTTTGACTGAGACCACCGTGGACGACCGCTATATCATCATGTTCAGCGATGAAAATCCTAATGCTTGCTCCATCATGTAAAAAAAAACGATAGCAGTAGTAAAAAGGATTTGTAAAGTTTAAATTTGTTCCGTAGCAATAATATTGAGAAATGTTTATGGTAAGATGCGAGCAAATGGGAACCGTGTGGGCCGTTATTCCACAATTATGTATTTGATGTATATAGTATTGCTCTATATTTGTCCTTCTGCATGAGAAGATTAATGGGGGAAAAGAACAAGCAACACTAAAGATGGAGATGCTTGGCTAAATTTGAGCGAGGGAAAAGTAGGTCTCCTTTTATTTAATGGTATTTATTATAGAATATATTTTATTCAAATTTAAATGTTTTTAAACCAAGTTATTTGTTGATGGGTTAACATGTTTGGATTACAAAAACATTTAACTTGCAAGTATGGTCTAACCCCTAATTCATACAACATTGGAAACCTTCGCTTTAATATTTACAAGTTATTTTATATTTTTAAGGCTTAATACTAAAATAGCTACCCAAATTATACCAAAATTCTCGAATAGATAACTAAACTATTCTTTAACTCATCCAGGTGTCTAACGTTACAAACTTTACCATTTTAGGTGTCTAATATTACAAACGTTACCACTTTCCGTACCTTGACCATAACGGCCGTTCTAAAACTCTGTTAAATTACACATGTCACAATGTTAGAAATTTTGATTTTTTTTCTTAAAATTAAAAATATTATTAAAAATAAAAAACACACACACATTTCTTCTTCCCGCGTCCAGGCCACCCTCTCCCCCTGCTTCCATGGCTTTGCCATGGCCAAATGGACAAAGGCCAAAGGCCAAACTGTCGATTAAACAACTGACCAATGACCAGTTTCTATAGTCGACTAAATGATCGATTTTCACGATCAATCAAATGAATTTAAGGGATTGGGTATTTGAGATTTTAGAGATTAGGGATTGAAATTAAGGATTTAAGGATCTTAGGTTTTGAGATGATATTAAGTTGTAATCGGTCAATGGGTGGTCAGTGACGTATGGGTGGCACGTCACCGATGAATGGGTGGCCAGAGATGACTGACGGTTGGAGTAAATGGGACTAGACGAAGAGATTTTAAGAGTTTAGTTTTTTTTAGTATTTTAGAAAAAAATGGGTTTTTTTAAACAAAATAGTTTTAAGTTTTTTTAAATAAATTTTTAAAATTAACGGACTTTGACATATGCCATTTAATGAACTTTTTTTAACGGCTGTTAGAATCGAGGCACATAAAGCGATAAGGTTTATAGCGTTAGGCACCGGAATGAGTCAAAAATAATTTAAGTACCTATTCGATAATTTTAGTATAGTTTGAGCACTTATTTTGGTATTAAGCTATTTTTTATGATGTTTAGGTATTATCGTTGCTTTCAAGCACTTGCTTTACGACATAATGTTTCAATCACTAACTCGACAACATAATGTAAATGAAGATTTGATTCACAAATACAACTTAACAATCTAAGATCAAATTTAACATATCTTAGTCACAGTTTAACGTTTAACTCAGATGACCACCATTTTTAATGAAAAAAGAACGAATTTGAAACATATGAATAGTTAGTTATCATTTTGCAATTTTTTATAGTCGAGAAACTCAATAAAACAACACCATATAATCAAAAAATCATTTTATAACTTTTAATAATTGAGGAACTCAAACAAAATAATGCCTACAGTTGGAAAACATTTTAATACTTTACCTTAAAAGATATACGTATCGTAGTTGCAATACTAGAAACAATTGTCCTCTTATTCTCTTGGTCAATATGTTGGAAAATAATGTATCAAGATACGTTATTTATTGTTTTTTATATTACTAAACCACTTTCATTTAAATTATCGAATGCTGAAATATGCTTCCTGTTATTAATGTGGAATTACATTTTGTATTTACATTAAATTACAGTTTCATTGTCAATATCTAATGTTGAGTTATTCAAAATAGATGAATTAACATTTAATATTTGCATAAATTAACTAATATTCGAATAATACTTTTGAAATTATTTAAATGAAAAAAGCCTATAAAACCAAATAAAAAACACTAATAATTGCTACTCAGGCCCGTCCAATTGGATGTGTGTCACACTGGGCTCCTATTTTGGAATTCCCGTATATGAATGTCATTTAAATTCATAATGAATCGAAGAATACGGATGGAGACAATCACTCCTATATTTTTAAAATCATCGTATATTTTAAATTTTTTCTATGTATTTTTTGTTTAGAATTTTGTTTTGACTTCCCTAAAATTTTATAAATATATCTCTTTTAAAATTTTAGAGATTCATCCCTAATAAAATTGTGTTCCTCGTTACATGTATAACCTTTGTGCCCCAATTACATTTTTATTCAAATAGAAAACAAACTTTTTGTTTGGTTATGGGAAAGTGACAGATAAAATTACAAATGAAGATTTGACAATATCTTAATCGTTTTCTATGATGAATTTTAATAAAAAGACTTATAAATATCTTATAATTCAAATTTAACAAATTAATTTTTATTATAAAATATTTTAAATTTTTATTTTAAAAATAACATGACATACTCAGCTTTGGTATGATTCAAATTTAACAAATTAATTTTATTATAAAATATTTTAAGAGTTATATTTTAAAAAATAACACAATCACCTACTCGTCTTTTGGATGGGCTTGTTGCTACTTAAAATCCAAGGAAAATTGACTGTCTCGTCTATAACTCATTAATGCTTTGTGAGCCTGATTTGGGCTGCGTCTCAAGTCCAAAACCACGTACGAGCCAGCTTGCCGGTGAATCCAAAGTCACCAAAAAGAACATCAGCCACGCTTTGTCCTTCACTCCCGGGGAGCCAAGCCGCCACCAGGGCGTCTATTTTATTCAGATACGGCTGGATCACAACGGGACGCCCTGAAATGAGCACCACAACGCATTTGGTGTTCTTACAAGCGTTCTCTATGATTTGCGGACCAGGATCCGGGATGGTCAAGTTTGTGCTGTCACCTCGTATCAGCGTAAGGAACCTCACCGACCACCACGATTGCAAAGTCGAGATTTTTCTTCTCAGGGTAGTCTTCGGAAGGGTTCATCTTGTAGATAACTTTGGTTTTTTTATCGACGGTTTTTTTACGGCGTCGAGTATGGTGGTGCCTGCCGTCCAGTTGTTCCCACTGACGCCTTGCCACTCGATGGTCTAACCACGGCACTGATACCCCAAGTTGTCGGCATGGGTTCCCGTAACAAGAATCTCACCGGCATTCTTCGGGAGAGGCAAAAGCGGTGGATTCCCGGGCTTCCCATTCTTCAATAGCACGAGCGATTTCCTCACAGCTTCCCTTGCCAATTCTCTATGCTTCTGCAGATTCGTCAAAAGCAACCCGGATTTGAAAAAAAAAAACAGCAACAAAAGTTAATTAAAACTGATTTATAGTTTCTGCAACAAAACTCACCTGGGAACCAACCTCGTTAACTAGACTATAATCACCCACGGGATTATCAAAGAGGCCCATGGCAAACTTGACACGCAATATTCTTGTCACGGCATCATCAATTCGGCTCATGGTAATGACATTCTCTTCACCAAATCAATCAAGCTTTGATGAATTCTTTGTATTGGTAGGGAACCATAACCTGGGAAATCAGCAACCATGACTTCATATCACAAGTTCTCGACTACAGCAATATGTAATTTAGAACTAGAACCGAAGATGTCAACACCGGCCGTTATTGAAGCTTGAATGTTAAGTGTAGTTGGAATGAGGGGAAGAGGTGATCCTGTCGATTCCTTCCCAATCAGAGATGACGAAACCCTGGGGGCAAAATTAATGGAATCTCACTTTTTCTTATTCAGTAAATTTGCTTCCAATAAAAAGCAATTTATTTACCTGGAAGCCAAGTTTCCCTTAAGGTGGTCGGTAAGCAACTGTTTATTAGCATGCATCTTAACTCCGTTAACACTCGAGTAAGAAGCCATGACGGTGCAATACCATTAGCCATCGAATTAACTTAGGCAGGCATGTGTATGCCATACAAGGTCGAGTCGTCCACGATTGTGTTGTTCTCGTTAATGCCGTTGACGGTGCCGCCATCTCCGACGTAGTGTTTAACAACCTTCAACCTTTTTCTACATCATAACACCAAGGGATGCGACAATCAAATAATATATATATATATTCAATTCATTTAATCCAGTAATGACATACTTTCCATTAACATATGGCATGCCCGCCATGTCAGCTGTGGCTTGTCCTTGTAGCCCATCGATGAGGGTTGTTAACTGTTGCACAATTGTATGGTCCTCGCTATAGCTCTCGTAACATCGACCTCATCTAGGATCTCTACAAACCTACATATATAAACATGCAGCTTTCAAGAGGAATCATGTAGATCTATGAGAAAACTTGTGCAAGAACACTTACTGCGATGCAGGGTGCAAAAGCATAAGGAATGTCGGTTGCTTGAACTTCGAATGCGGTCGCAACCCCGATCGCCTTGACAAGTTGTGGATCCCTGGTGGATATATGAAGGAAACAAGATTCATACACGGTGATCAATTATAACAAATAGGAAATAGGAACCTTAGATGCACCTAGTTACTCGAGGCCAACATTATGTGGGAAATGGTGGCATTGACAACATTGTTATGGCCATGAACGGCGTCGATCCCGTAGATCATTCGAACCCCGAGACGAGTTGAAAGCAGCACCCTTGTTGATAAATCGGGCAAAGTAAACGAAAGAACACAAAATTTTTAACGAGGTTCGGCAATGGGCTTACGTCCTCGGTGCCTAGGCGGCGCTAGAAAATTTATTCAATTCTCATAGGTTTAGGTACATCTCTATTTATAATAGAAAACCCTGGTACATAATTACAAAATTAACCCTGTACACCGCGAGGCGCAGCCCCCGCACCCCCAACCCATAATCGTAACCCCCTCTACGAGACTTTCTTTGTAAGGACAGTTGATTCGCTGCGTTCGCTCGCTCCATCCCCTGTCCTCTTTAACCGGTATATTTATGAGCCATACCTTACAAATCTCCACCTTGGCGAATATCCTGCCCCTTAGGAAACATTCAATGTGGTTGGGTTACCTTAGTTCTTTAACAACTTGAAACATTCAACAAGTCCAAGCATGCTTGAACATGTCTGTCGTAACTGGCTTGGTGAACATATCAGCGGAATTCTCATCAGTGTGTA